TAGAGAGGGCTGAAAGCCCTATGAAGCGGTATATAAGTCTACTGCTATTGCTATTGCTATAACAAGCTCAGCATCTTAGCCACTGAACCACTATGTCCCCTTCTTCCTTAAAAAGAGGCATGCAAAATATAGATGCTAATCTATCTGCTGACATTGGTAAATATGAGGCTCAAGTTAATTTCTTCTCTCTAAAACCTCTTGTGTACTATAAAATAAATGTATTAATATCTATGAATGTGAAATTTTATATGATTAATTATTGTTCATTAATTATGAATGCAAGTATGTTTGTAGGGTTTTGTTCCTTATAATTGCTATGTGAGCATTACCCTGAATTAAAATAATTTTAGGCCAGCTTTCACCTTAGTTTTATGCTTGTAAAAATGGACCAACTATGGCAATGAGGAATTTTTTTACAATTGCTAATTTAAAGAAACAAATATTTTGCCTAGACAGTAAAATAGTGTACTTTGTTTCTGAAAACAATCTAAGCTAATTTCTGAGTTAATGATGCTTAAAAGGATCTTATTAGTCAATTTACATACTTACATATTAGTGTTAGCTGTAGAAGTTAGCCAATCTGCAGCTAATCCAACCATATCCAATCCAGTTGAAAGCTGATTGAAATATCTGGGATGCCCTGCAAAACATCTGAATAAGCTACATTGAAAGATGTATTTTTTTATTATATTTCTATCACATTCATATTTCCTGCTGTCCATTTTGTCCCATAAAATCCCAATCTCATTGCATTTCTATGGAATTTATATGGCAAACAGCTTCAGTGAAAACTCATTATTTTTAGCTTTCAGCAATGAGGATGAAGATTCTGTACAGGGAGACTTTTGTTCAGGCATTATTAGTATTACCATTGGTCAAAATGCCTTGTTCTCTTAAAAGGACTAGATGGATCTTTTCCATTTCAGAAAAAGAAAGAGTTTGAAATTGATAGTTGAATTATATTTCAATATAATTACACAAAATCACCTTATATCAATTGAAAGGAACTTATTTTCTCTTTAAAAAATCTTTATTTTTTCAAACTAGGTAAGAACAAAAAGAAAAAGATAGCTATGTAAACAGAGTTAGCATAGTAAAATAATACTAATACCGTATTTTTCGGAGTATAAGACACACCTTTTTCCCTCAAAAAAGAAGGTTAAAATCTGGCTGCATCTTATACACTGAATACCGCACTTTTGTCCCCTTTGCAAAAATGGACATGCATAGGCTTTAGGAGGCTTCCAGAGTACTCCTAGGGCTGGGGAGGGCAAAAATGAGCGAAAAACAGGACAATTTTTGCTCATTTTTATCCCCTCCCCCAGCCCCCAGGAGCACTCTAAAGGCTCCTAAAGACTATGCATGCCCTTTTTTTTTTTGACAAAAACAGGTGCGTTCCACAAAATAATGGGCTGTTTTTTGCTCATTTTTGCCCCCCTATTACCCTCAGGAGCACTCTACAATCCTCCTAAAGGCTGTTCATGCCCTTTTGGGGGACAAAAAAAATAAGCTAGCCTGTTTTTATGAAAAATGGACCATTTTTTGGGAGGTCTGCAGAGTGCGAAATCTTTTTTTAAAAAAATTTGCCTCTTCAAAATCTTGGTGCCTCTTATATTCCAAAAAATATGGTATTTTTGTCTTTCCTTCCTCACTTCCAAAAAAAGAAGGAAAGGGGAGAAGAGGAAAGGAGAGGAGAGGAGGGGAAGGGTAGAGAAGAGAGAAGAAGAGAGAAGAAGAGAAGAAAAAAGAAGAGAAAGGAAAAGAAGAGAGGAGGATACAGGTAGGGAGGTGGTCAGGCAAAATGTCTGGAAATTTATATAATAAACAAAACAACTTCGTAAAATTTGAACAAATTGTACAAATGTTGATAGACCATGATCTATATAACAAACATTCCTTCCTGCAAATCAGCATAGGTTATAGGTTTTATAATCACAATGTTTGGCCATCCTACTTGCATCATTCTTGATATTCTAATAAACTTCAAATACTGTAGACAGAGCCACCAAAACACAAACATTCTTAATGGCAGTAAATTATCTTATAACAAGCCTAAGCCACAAAACAGGATGAATATACATATCATCAATACCTTTCAAAAGAAAGAGATCGCCTCCCTCTTGTTCTCCGCCCATTCTACCTCTGTCCTGCACAAATCATTTTTCACAACCTATCACTAGGTTTTGAAGGGATCAGCTCTAATGTGTTTCCATGTAGATCATTGGCAAAATTTACAGATATCAGAAATAAATCTTACATGGGTCTAGGTGTTGTTTTTTTTTTTGTTTTTTGTTTTGTTGAGAAAATAAGACAGCAATACTTGAAACGAATAAATAAAATCTTGCTGATCCTATTAAGGGAAGAACAGGACTAAATTTGACATCACCATTCTGTTTCTCCTTGCATCTTTGGCCCAGGGTAACTGTGAATTCTAGAAATATAACAATGACTTTCTGCTTATTAGAAAAATAATTTTAAACAATGCACAAATCTCCCAAAATGGTCTTAATTCATATCTAGATTTGGATAACTAAGCTCTATTTGATTGGGACCTTTATAAATAATTTATCCCCCCTCCCACCTGTTTAAATAAAAATACTCCTGTAAATCAATTGTCACCAACTTAGTTTCTTCCAGATATGTTGAACTCTTCTAAAATGTTTAGCCAGCAATGTTGAAAAGAATTCTGGGAATGGAAGTCCACTACAGCTGGAAGATTTCAGTTATGAAAAGATGCTCAAATTCCCACAACTAGGAAAGAGTAAATGTATGAATTATTTGGATTTCTTTCTAGCCATTTTCTACAACAGTTTAATATATTTATGTTACTTAAAGTAGATCTAAAGCACAGCAGATCTGGAATTCTGCCCTGTTGGGTTCTTTGCACAGCAGTTAATCCATATCTGAGCAGATAAAAATATTTCAACTATATTCCCAGGGCATGCAACTGCAAACAAACCACAACTAGCTTAATTTGCTCAATAAATAAACAATTCAGAAATTGTAAGGGATAGATTCATACAATGCTCTAACAGGATCACCACATGCATTTGCACATATTTAGGTTGTAATTTCTAATAGCCAAATAGCTTCTAGATATCAACAAAAAAAGAATGTTCATATCTTGGATTTTCATTTCTGGGTCACCTGGATTTTGCTGCCTAGATAAAATATTTACCCTATTCTAAACCACAAAAAAGATACTACTACTAGCCCATTTCAGTAAATGAGCTTTCTGCCATCACTGGTTTTTTAAGTACATCTAAAGCAAAACTGAAATAAATAATATTTTAACTGCAATTCCCCATTACCTTTAAAACGAGTCCAACCACCTTGTAGATATCTCTATTTCTCCTGTTACCAATGAGTGCTCTATTTCATAATCAGAAGCACCAGCCAGAATACTGAGTAGTTACTCATGATTAATCATAACCCATATGATAAACAACTAATAAGGCAAAAGGAGGAAATGGAATGAAAAGAGGTGAAGATATGAATTTCCCAGGCAGCTGAAGACTATATTACTTCTTCCTGGGCAGAACATAACAACAATAAATCATCAAATTTCCTGTTCATTGTGATTTTTAAAGAAATCTGATGGAAGTTAATGTCACTGGTGTGTTGAAAATGATACCTAAGAAAAGCCCTATAGATTGATTACTTCATGTATGTGGTTTATTTGACTGGCTTATACAATATGTTCTCAGCAGTTTGGAGATTTTAGTACATTTTGGGGGGGCTATTCCTTCAACAACAAAGAAAACTTTCCTGAAGTTGCTAAAACACATATGCATGTGCTTAACCATGCAACACTTGTGTATTTACTCAGATTCAGGACTAGCACATGAGAAGATTAACAGCTGCTTCATCAGCATTTGATTTTTGAAATCAAGCCCCAGACAGCTCCTCTTTGAGATATATAACATCTCTATCTGCAAGGGAAGCAGGGCTATTAAAAATGGCATACAGAAACTGAAAAGAAAATTATCTCCCTTGAGCAGTCTTAACATCAATCAAATGCATATCATAAAGACTTCGGCACTGAAAGGGGTTTTGCTGTCATCCACAGAGTGACACACAAAAGCTGAACAGTGCGGTTGCGTGGGTGAAACTAAAGGAAGAGAGGAAGGTTGAAGGGGGAAGCAAAACCAATTATTCTTTTAGATATGGAATCAGAGCACAACCTTCTGTTAATTTAGCTTAAAATTATGGTAATTGTTTTGGAAAAGCAAAGTGTATGGTTTGACTTAAATTCTCCAGATTTTTTGTCCCTGTTGTTTTTTACACATTTAGCCCGTGTTTGTCCCATGATGGCCCTGTGCCATCTGTCCAGAATGATTCAATGAATAAACTAAAGCAGGAGGGAACAATTAGGCCAAGGGCATTCAGTAGATTAATACAGGTAGTCCTTGAGTTACAATAATTGTTCATTGTTTAATGACTATTCAGAGTTACAATGCAACTGAAAAAAGTGACCTATGACCAGTTCTCATACTTATGACTTATGTTGCAGCACCCCTAAACTCAGACGTTCAACCTTCAGATGCTTGGCAACTGGTGTGTGTTTACAATGGTTTGCAGCATCACAGGGCCGTAGAATTATTTGCAACCAACCTAAAGAGCTTTTGTCAAACAAAATCAATGGGGGAAGTCAGATCCACTTAATGGCCATGATTCGCTTAATAATTGTAGTGATTCACTTAACAAACATGTCAAAAACATCATCAAATGGGGTATGACTCACTTAAATGCCTTGGTTAGCAACAGACATTTTAGGTTCAATTGTGGATATAAGTTGATGGCTATCTATGTGGATAAAGCGGAATATAAATTTATGCTATTTGTTTCATTCCAAGAACAATATTTCCTTGTAAATCACATATCATTTTTTCAAACCTGGCTGCTGTAGAAGGCAGGGCAAAACCAATTAAAATTAATTGTATATACACATAGATTTCACCTGGAACACAAATTATTAGTTCCAAATTCCTAATATAAATCCATATGACAGTGTCTCTACCACTTACAGTACATTACGGTTTGGATTCAATAAATCTGCAGGCCTACAGTCTAATTTTGCTACCTTTAGTCATTGCTTGCCTTTATTGATTATTTATTGGTTTATTAGTACAAAAATGGCAATTGAGATCCAATGCATCTGAAAAGCACAAGCATGGGAAAAGCTGAATTAAAACTGTACTAAATGAGTATAGTGAGCCCTGTGGCAAAATGCATGGAATATGCACCTGTAGTCTTGTCACATCCTAACATATTTTATGTGATGTTTTCATATTTATATTATTACACCTTTCTTTTCACCAAAAATGATATTCAGGGTGCACTCAACTAGAAACATTTCCAGCAAACCCATATATTGGGTTTGATCAAGATGTTTTTCTTAAACTGAGAAAGAAGGAGGAAATAAATATTTTATTATTTATTTATTATTATATTATTTATTTAAATACATTTATATACGTGGATTAACTTGATCATGATGTTTTGCTTTACACTGAGGAAGAAGAGGAAAATAAATATTTTATTATTTATGATTTTATTTAAATACATGCATATTTATATTTATGCATATACATATGTGTGGATTAACTTGATCATGATGTTTTGCTTTACACTGAGGAA